AATGATTATTTTAATGACAAGAAGTATTCAGGTCCAATAGTTCTGGGTGATTATGTCGAAAAGGGATCTGTTTGAAGTCATAAAACCTCGAAATCTTCCATAAATTGGTGCGGCTGGGATCAACAGAAAGAACCGGAGCAGCCTCAAGTATCCTAATCTTCAATCAGCACGTCGTCCTGTAGCTCATTGTGATGAAATTCCAGTGCCTATCTTCGGAGAACTTCCTGACATTAGTGACGAAGATGCCTCCAGTGTTGAAGGACATGAAGAAGAAGAAGTGGTTCTTGAAGATGATGCTCCACATCCATTTTCCCAAAAGGAGTTGAATGATCTAGTTCGCGACCTCAGCTTGTCAAAGGACTCTGCCGAACTGTTGGCATCCAGATTGAAGGAAAAAAACCTCCTCTCTGAAAGTGCTCGCATCAGTTTCTTCCACAACAGGCATCAAGAGTACCTCCGTTTTTTCTCGGAAGAGAAGGACTTGGTGTTCTGTGCAGATATTGCGCAGCTTCTGCTCAAGCTTGGAGTGCCACAGTACGAACCCAAAGATTGGAGACTGTTCATTGACAGCAGTGAGCGATCACTGAAATGTGTTCTGCTACACAACGGCAACCAGTTTGCCTCTATACCCCTGGCTCACTCGAGTACACTGAAGGAGAACTATGAAGCGGTGAAGTATGTGCTGGAGAAAATTGGTTATGGTCAGCATAAGTGGTTTATTTGTGTTGACCTGAAGATGGTGAACTTTTGTTGGGACAACAGTCTGGCTTCACCAAGTACCCATGTTTTCTGTGCATGTGGGATAGTAGGGACCGTGCTCAGCATTACACGAAGAAGGACTGGCCTGTGCGGGAGGAATTGGTGCCTTGCAAAAAAAGGAACGTCATCAACGACCCTCTGGTGGACAGAGACAGAATACTCTTCCCACCGCTGCACATCAAGCTCGGCTTAATCAAGCAGTTCACCAAGGCTCTGGACAAGGATGGGCATTGCTTCACTTACTTGTGCCAGGCTTTTCCAGGATTGACCATGGAGAAGTTGAAAGCTGGCATCTTTGACAGTCTTCAGATCCGTCAGCTCATCAGAGATCCAGAGTTTGGAAAGTCAATGAACGAAGTGGAACTGGAAGCGTGGAAGGCACTTGTTCTGGTAGTGAAGAACTTTCTTGGCAACAATAAGGCCAGAAAGTACGCAGAACTTGTCAACAACATGCTGACTGCTTTCAGAAACCTGGGCTGCAACATGAGCGTCAAGATGCACTACCTATTTTCACATATGGACCGGTTTCGTGAGAACCTGGGTTCAATGAATGACGAGCAGGGGGAGAGATTCCATCAGGACATGAAAGAGATGGAGACCAGGTATCAGGGTTGCTGGGACGCAGTCATGATGGCTGACTACTGTTGGACTCTGAAGAGAGACCTCCCTGCCGCTGAGCCTTCCTGGAGTTCCAAGAAACGGAAGTTCAAGCCCTGAAGTTTGAAAAATGGTGAAGCAACCTGCAATTTACGTGTACTTACCTTTATCAGTGCCCACCATTCAGTTTACAGTAAACCTGACCTGATGGAGAGAAACGGATGCCATTTCCTGATTCAGCAGTGCAAAAATACCCTAAATCAGTTGTACAGTGGTGCCTCGCAAGACGAAATTAATTCGTTCCGCAAGTCTCTTCGTCTTGCGAGTTTTTCGTCTTGCGATGCACGGTTTCCCATAGGAATGCATTGAAAATCAATTAATGCGTTCCTAGGGAAACCGCCTTCAGACCAGGTCCGGGGACAGTCTGTCCCCGGACCTCTTCTGAAGGCTGGGGGGCCGAAAGGGCTTTTCTTCCCACCCCCAGCATTTTAAAAAACCCCGGGACAGCGGAGGACTTCTCCGCTGTCCGGGCGATCTTAAAATGCTGGCGGGCGGCAATTTAAAATCACCCCGGGACAGCGGAGGACTTCTCCGCTGTCCGGGGCAATTTAAAAGCCCCTGGGAAGGCAGGCAGGGGGGACAAAGACTTTGCCCCCGCCAGCCTTCAGAAGAGGTCCTGGACCTCTTCTGAAGGCAGGCGGGGGCGAAAGTCTTTGCTCCCCGCCTTCAAAAGCCCTCCGGGACAGGCAGGCAGGGGGAGCAAAGACTTTCGCCCCCGCCCGCCTTCAGAAGGTCTTCCCTCCCCCGCCCGGCTTCGGAGCACCGTTCCGAGCCGGGCGGCGGCGGGAGGTCTTCCCTCCCCCGCCCGGCTCGGAGCACCGCTCCGAAGCCGGGCGGCGGCGGAGGTGTTCCCTCCCCGCCCGGCTCGGAGCACCGTTCCGAGCCGGGCAGAGGCGGAGGTCTTCCCTCCCCCGCCCGGCTTCGGAGCACCGTCCCGAAGCCGGGCGGCGGCGGAGGTGTTCCCTCCCCCGCCCAGCTCGGAGCACCGCTCCGGCCGGGCAGAGGCGGGAGGTCTTCCTCCCCCGCCCGGCTTCGGAGCACCGCTCCGAGCCGGGCGGCGGCGGCAGGTGTTCCCTCCCCCCGCCCGGCTCGGAGCACCGTTCCGAGCCGGGCGGCGGCGGCAGGTGTTCCCTCCCCCGCCCGGCTTCGGAGGAGCCTTCCGGCCCGGCGGCGGCGGGAGGAGGTGTCCCCGCCCCGCCGCCAGGCTTCGGAGGAGGTCCGAGGACAGTGGGAAGACGCGCTGCGCTTCCCGCTGTCCCTGAGATTTCCCTATGGGCTGTCGTCTTGCGAAGCAAGCCCATAGGGAAATTCGTTTGCGAAGCGCCTCCAAAACGGAAAACCCATTCGTCTAGCGGGTTTTCCGTCTTGCGAGGCGTTCGTCTTGCGGGGTACCACTGTAGAAATCTAGACAACATTCAAAAAGTAAAAAATTGTTGCCCAGTGTTATATTTGGGTACATTTATATATTAGATAAATAGTTGTATGAGCAAAAGGAATGTAGGGAGAGGAACTGAATTAAATTATATCAATTAATTGTTAAACATGCATGTGGGAAAAGGTGCTTTCTTAAAGGGCCAGAGTGAGTGACTGGGTCTTCCAAATACTTGTACATTCTACACAGGGCCTGGCGCCCTCTCTGGGCCCCTGGTGCACAATGCCAAATGAACCATAATTCTGCAAATGCTTTATACAAAGCAAGCCATTCTTTTCCCATCCTTCTCAGCCCTTCAGAGCTTCCCCTGACGGATCGTGAGATGGAGATTCTCAACAAGACAACAGGGATTGCTCAGACGGCGGAGATTTTGACAGATCCTATGGACGAAGAAGTCGCCCCTCCCAAGCCTCCTCTTCCCTGCATCCGGGTCGCTGAAAACAGGTAGAGCTGGAATAAATGAGTTCAGGAGTTGCCTCAGTAGCCTCTTGTCATTATAGTCAGGGTTGAAATAATTAACTAGTTGTCATTCAGAGGTTTTCAGACTTTAGAGAACCCTTTCCATGTCAGCTTGTCAGGCAGAGAACCAGCACTGTTCTGGGTTCATGCTGCTGTTTTGTGTTGTGTGAATGGACTGTAGAACCCCAGTGGTGGCTGGTGCGGTACTTCTTGGGGTTGGTAGGGCAGAAGTAAAAGGCAGCATTTCCTGCGCTGGTGACAAAAGGCTGGAAATGATCTGTCTGTCTCTGTGTGTGGTCTGTATCTGTACGGTGTGTGCACATCTGAGCAGGCATATACATTGGCCACACTCACCACTGGTACTGGAAAACATTCTCATTTCCTAAGCAAGGTGAGATTAGATGCATAAGTTGAGTGGGTGCAGGTGCAGGTGCATTCATTTCTGGTTTCATGGAAATAGGGGTGGAGGGCGTGTGGAAATAAAGCAAATAAGAGTGGAAGAAGACAAAGCAAAACTCTTGTTATCTTCCTTAAGCAGCAAGCACACAAGAGGTCCTAAATTGTGGCAGAGATGGTCACAAACTTAAAGGTAAAGATAAAGGGACCCCTGACCATTAGGTCCAGTCGTGACCGACTCTGGGGTTGTGGCGCTCATCTCGCTTTATTGGCCAAGGGAGCCGGCGTACAGCTTCCGGGTCATGTGGCCAGCATGACTAAGCCGCTTCTGGCGAACCAGAGCAGCGCACGGAAACGCCGTTTACCTTCCCGCTGGAGTGGTACCTATTTATCTACTTGCACTTTGACGTGCTTTCGAACTGCTAGGTTGGCAGGAGCAGGGACCGAGTAACAGGAGCTCACCCTGTCACAGGGATTCGAACCACCAACCTTCTGATCGGCAAGTCCTAGGCTCTGTGGTTTAACCCACAGCACCACCCGTGTCCCTGTCACAAACTTAGATGGCTTTAAATTAGGACTGGACAGATTCATCGCGGAGAGCGCTATGAATGGCTACTAGACACAGTGGCTTCATTCTGCCTCCATGGCCAGATCCAGTAATGCTTCTGAATACCAAGTGCTGGAAACTGCATGAGGAGAGAAGTGTCTTGTGCGTGGATCCTGCTTATGAGCTTCCCTTAGGCGTCAGGTTGGCAGCTGTAAAAACAGGGTGCTAGACTGGATGGGCAATTGGCCTGATCCAGCAAGAGTGTTGTTACATATTTTTTAGAAGTTGGGTGGGTGGGTGTGATATTTCTTATGACCCTCTACCCAGCTGTTCAGGGTTGTTTAAGAAGAACGGCAGCACCTTGCTTGTTGAAGTGTGTCATGGGGAATGCAAACAAATACTGTGTGGCTTGCTAGAATCGTGTGAGATTCTTTTCCTTTTGCAGGCTCTGTGGTCACTGGTGTGAGTTGGCTGTGCAGCTTTCTCACTGTTGAAGGGCTTTGACATCAAGACACCCTCTGTTTCTGGGCGTGCCCCAGAAACAGAACAATTTGCAAACATATTGGCATCTAGAAAATCTTACCATTATCTGGTTGCTTGGGGGGGGTGTGTTTTTGGTCAGCCCCATTAGGAACAATTAACTCTACCCCACTCATTGAATGCAGAGGAATGGTTGGTTTGGGTTTTACTACCATTTTCAAACTTCATGAGAAACTCCATCCTTTGAAGGAAATAGCAGCTAATGAGGGAAAGACTATAGCTCAGTGGTAGAGCATCTGCTTTACTTGCAAAAGGTCCTAGGTTCAATCTCCAGGTAGGGCTGGAAAAGATTGCCTGCCTGAAACCCTGGAGGACCTCTGTCAGTCAGTGTAGACAGTACTGAGCTAGATGGACCCAGCGGTCTATCTCATTAGAAGGAAGCCTCTTAGGTTTTCCTGTTTAAATCAGTACCTTATACAGAACCATGAAGACTGGAATCTTACTTTGTTTTCAGGGGAAGGGCCTAGGTTCTCTCCCCAGCATCTTCAGGTAGGTCTGGGAGAGACTTCACATCTGAGAAACAACTGGTCAGTCTAGTTCCATCTTGCCTGCACTGCTCAGCAGCAGCAGCTCTCCAGAGTTTTGGGTGGAGGGTGGTGGTCTCTCCCAGCCCTACCTAGAAATGCCAGCAGGGATCAAACCTGGGACCTTCTGCACGCAAAGGAAATGCTCTGCCACTGAGCTATGGCCCTTCCCCAACCTTCTTAGAGATGGTTATTGTGGCTTTTTGATCCAGAAGTACTTGACTGGCATTGTTGTGTTCATGTTTTTCTTTGACCCACCTTTCACAGCCCTCCTCCTGCACTGCCGCCGAAGAAACGCCAGTCGGCGCCATCTCCCACTAGAGTGGCTGTTGTGGCACCCATGAGCCGGACCACCAGTGGGTCCAGTTTGCCAATTGGAATAAATAGGCAGGTAAGTAGGAAATTGCCTTGTGCTGGTTCAGACTGTTGGCCCATCTAGTTTTCTGCTCTGAGTAGCAGACCACTGGCTTGCCAAGGCTGCACTGGCAGCCTTCCCAAACCCAATTTAATTGCTGGTGGTGGGACATGAAAGTGCAGAGTACCAGTGGGCACTGCATGATGTTGGTCCCTTATTTTGTCACTGTACAGGACAAGGAACTTGAAAGGCTTGGCCTGGCCCAGCACAGTGCTGGGGGCACATGTTGCCCCCTCTCCCCACTCATTAAAAGGAAGGGTTCCATGTTGGATCTGTATATCTGGGTCTGGGTGTGGTATAGACTACCTTTGCCCCTATGTGCGTGCAGCTTTTTAGGGGGGTGGGGAGGGAGGTGAGACAGTTTTATTGCAAAGGTTGAGAAGCCTAGTTTCTTAAGTAGATAAACATAGAGGGGGTTATATACTTTACGTACAGCTGGAAACAGCTGATGCTCTCACCATGTGTGTGGGAGGTCTTTTGGCTCCACCCCTGACAAATCACCCTCCTGCCCCCGCCCCCACAACTGGGAGAACTGTGTACAGCACATTGAACTCCTTGGAGGAAAGGCGCAATATAAACGAAATAAATAAATAAAACTAAATTCCCGCAATGCAACTCCCAAACATTCCAAGACAACAAAACCTTAACTTTTCAAAACACATTAAAACCTGAAAGCATTTTATTGATGTTTTCACATTATATCATGCCTTTGTTGTTCACCGCTTTGTTATTTATTTTTAATGAAAGTGTGGCTTGTAAATATTTAAATAAAATAAATACGTTGAATAAATGAAACAAACATAACTCCCCTCCTCTTCTTCTTCTGTTCCTCCAGGATTTTGATGCAGACTGTTACGCGCAGCGGAGGCTGTCAGGAGGCAGCCAGTCCTATGGTGGGGAATCCCCCCGCCTCTCGCCGTACAACAGCATGGGCAAGCTCAGCAAATCCGATGAGCAGCTCTCCTCGCTGGACTGTGACAGCGGGCAGTGCTCCCGCAACACAAGCTGTGAAACGCTAGGTAGGGAGTGGGTGTTCTTGCCAGAGGACCTGGAGAGGGGAAAGGAGACAGGGTACATGCACCCTGCAGCTTGGGTTTTGAGGGCCTGGTGTTTAGAAATGCCTCTGTAGCATCTGAGCTGATGGTGATTAATTAGTAGCTCCATTTCACAAATGTGAACTCAAAGCAACTCACAGAATCAAACATTTGGAGACAGCCTAGAATGATAAAGTATATGTTATGTTTTATTCTACTCAACCTATCCTGCTAAAAAAAAAAAAAGCAGAAAACTAAGGGCCAGAAGACTGGGTGAATAAAAATGTTTTTACCTGGCAAGTAAGACCAGATAGTGACAGCTGCTAGTGGAGCCTTGCTGAGAAGGGACTGTTCTGCAAACAGGAAGCCACCACTGAGAAGGCCCTTTTCTGGTGTTGCTTTTTGTGTGCAGTTTAAAGAAAAGGCAAATAAGAGGAAGAAGTAATAGAGGTGTATAGTAAAAATGATGCATGGTGTGGAGAAACTGGATTGAGAGAGGATTATCCATTGAAGCTGAATGCTCAGGACAGAGTGGTTTAACAGCCACTCTCTCTTCACAGGCATCTCTGGGAAATAGTAGTTGTGTGAAGGAAATAGGGTTCCCTTAACAACTCTCAGCACCCTTACCAAGCCACAGCTTCCAGAATTACTTGGGGGAAGCCATGGCCGCTTAAAGTGGTGTTGTAGTACTTGAAATATATGGTGTTGATGTGGCCTTAGTTGGCTCTGCCTGTCATTGTGTGTGGAGCCACTTACTGTTGGCCTCCCTGACTTTCTGCGAGTGACAGACCCTGGGGCCTCAATGATCAGCAGTGCCATATGCGACGCCAAAATTTGGCACCTCCTCCTCCCCACCTCTTGCCTTCCACGCTATGTAATAGTTGTGGTGCCCCTGATGCTCCACGCTCAGTATGACTGAACTTGCCGTGCTCCCTTAAATCCACCTCTGCTTCTGCCCCACCAGTCCCAAGGGGCACCACCCACTGCTAGTCTGTCCTGATGTGTATCAATACCCTTCTGACCTAGCAGTTGGGGCTCACTGTTGCTCAGTCTCCTGATGGTTGCCTCTCTTCTATTCTCCACAGATCATTATGATCCAGACTACGAGTTCCTGCAGCAGGACCTCTCGAATGCCGACCAGTTACCTCAGCAGGGGCCCACTGCCCTCAGCCCTTTGCCAGAATCTCTGGGGGAGGCCGGCTCCCCATTTTACGGACGCACTTTCCAGCTGCCAGTGGCAGCCGCTTTGGCTGCTGAGGTCCCTCCGGCTCTCCCAGAGAAGAAGAGGAGGGGGACAGTCAACCCTACTTTTGATACTTCCGGCTGCCGTGTCTTGTTCGAGAGGCACCCCTCGCAGTATGACAACATTTCAGAGGACGATCTGCACAACCCCACCCTGCTCCCCCCTATGACCATCACGCCTTTTGCCACCGTGCTGCCCTTCCAGCCAGGGAACTCCCCAGCCCCCGTTGAATTCCTCACTGACTTTCTCATTCCGGACTCCACTAGTGACTCTGAGAAACCGCCACCTCTGCCAGAGAAGAAAAACAAACACAGTAAGTGCGAAATTGACTCAGTTTCTCGTGGCTCATGTGCCCATTGCAGCTCAGGAAGGGGCTCCATGTTAGCAGAGTCACTTAAAATAATGCAGATTGAGTCTAGAGCAAAAAGGCCTGATAATACTTCCCTGTGCAAACCGGGGGGAAAACTGTGTATAGTTTGAGGAGAAAGGAACAGAGAGGTTTTGTCTTTGTTGGTTCATGTACATAGCAGGAAGACAAACATCCAAATATACGGAGGAAAACTCTCTTGGAACCACATAGCCAATCATACCAACTAAATTATCCCTGCTGTTGTACTTCCAACATTCCACAGTGGTGGAGCACATGGTTACATGTAGGAACTCTAGGGTAAATCCCTGCCATCTCCAGGAACGGCTGGGAAAGACTTCTGCCTGAAACCCTAGAGAGGCTCTGCCAGTCAGTGCAGACAGTAATGACCCAGATCACAGGCAAGGTGATTATGGCCCTCTGGATATTGCTGGACTACATCTCTCATCATCCCTGACTATTAGCCATGTTGGCTGCTGGTGGAGCTAGAGTCTGGAAGTTTTCTCTCAGTTCTTTTTTCCAATTTTCAGTTCTCCACATTTCCACATTACTTTGCATTTTAAAAAAAGTCACTGGGATGACTTCTCAGCATTCAGGTGTGCATTTCTTTCTCTCAACTCACACATTGTTGTATTTAATTTTATCTAATGCACATATTTGTTTAAGCCATTTTCCCATATAGAATGCATTATGGTTCATTATTTTCACTAATATACAGTTTTATGCACCTTTCCCTCTTTGATACACTTTTTTTGGTTACACATTTTTGGGGGATGTGGAATGTACAAAATCTGGAGGTGTTAATCTAGAAAAATGGCTACATTTGGATTCACTTACTATTTCAGGAAATGCGAATGAGCCAGTGTGGTGTAGTGGTTAAGAGCGGTAGACTCGTAATCTGGTGAACCAGATTCGATTCCCCGCTCCTCCACGTGCAGCTGCTGGGTGACCTTGGGCTAGTCACACTTCTCTGAAGTCTCTCAGCCCCACTCACCTCACAGAGTGTTTGTTGTGGGGGAGGAAGGGAAAGAATGTTAGCCGCTTTGAGACTCCTTAAAGGTAAAGGGACCCCTGACCATTAGGTCCAGTCGTGGCCGGCTCTGGGGTTGCGGCACTCATCTTGCTTTATTGGCCGAGGGAGCCGGCATACAGCTTCCGGTTCATGTGGCCAGCGTGACTAAGCCACTTCGCATGAACCAGAGCAGCACACGGAAACGCCGTTTACTTTTCCGCCGGAGCGGTACCTATTTATCTATTTGCACTTTGACGTGCTTTTGAACTGCTAGGTTGGCAGGAGCAGGGACTGAACAACAGGAGCTCACCCCATTGTGGGGATTCGAACTGCCGACCTTCTGATCGGCAAGTCCTAGGCTCTGTGGTTTAACCTACAGCGCCAACCACGTCCCCTCTTCTTCATTTTTTGCTGTGATGTAACCAGGCCAATTTCCCACATCCCCTCCAAATGGCAAATCCCCGGATTCCTCAAGAGAAGCCATGCTCCCCCCCGCATATAGAACAGCAGTTGGGAACCTCCAGCCCATCATCCACCAGTATTTTGTTCTCAATAGCCTACTTTGCCTGTGAGGCTGTCTGCCCCTGCAAACCATGCCAACCTGGTCAAGACCCGTCATCAGGTGTTGGGCTTGCTGATGCCACTGATCAAATCCCTGTGCCTTTGCCTACAAAGCTTCATTTCCAAACCACGCAAGCAGATGGAAATGCTTCCTCTGACCTCATTGTGATGTCAGGCGATTGACAGGTGCACAGCTGCCATAATGGCCTTCGGCGGATGAGGGTTGGCGGATGTAAGGATCCTTTTCCTCCGCTATAGGTTGAGCAAAATCTCATTCGTGTTCATGGCTACCACACAGCTGAAATGGCAAAGATAGCTTGTATTGGTTCTACACCTTGATCCATTGATGCAGCCAGTGGTGCTGGGGAAGGGAAGGTTCCCCAGAAGCCTCCCAGGTGGGTAAACCACTCACACCCTCCTGTGTCTTTTCTGTTCCAGTGATGGCCTATATGCAGTTTGTAGAGGACTACTCAGAACCGCAGCCTTCTATGTTCTACCAGACACCGCAGAATGAACACATCTACCAACAGAAGAAC